CTTCCCTCTGTGAATCCCGAAGTTAGCTAACGGGCTAATGATAAGCATCATAAAGCCCGCCATAAGAAATAAATAAATAAATATTCCGTCGGCACTAAGATGTTAGTCCTAATCCGGTGTGCGTAACTGATTTTGTCTAAGTGGGTTCGTTAACGATCTGCAAACCGATACCCCAATCAGAGGTAGAGAAAACTTATTGCATTTCATTTCAACTTATTTACTAGTGAACTTAACCAATTTAGGGTGCAGCCATTATCTCAACAATAACGGAAGGAAAATAGAGAAAACAAACTTAATTTCTCTTCTTGCTCAATCATATTTTCTTCTTGACACCTTCCTCTTTAAGTCATGGCTTGCTCTGAATTGATTAGTCCATCTGATGGTTCGGTATTCCTCCATAGCGACCTATTCTATGCTAAGAGGATCCAGTCTGCTTATTCTACTTGGTAATTCCATTAGAAATTTCCCATCAAGTTATGAACAGTTTTCTGCTTATCTGTCGATGCTCCCCTCCCTCCCCTGTGACAAAGGACATGTGTCTCTCTCCATCCACATGATTTGGGATTTTTGCCTCGTATACCTGGAATGGGACACTGAGATCTCAATTAATTTCGCGAGGAAATCTCCATTCTCTGATATCTCGACAGCCTTCACCTCCGATTCATTAACTAATGCAAAAACTAGATCGCGATGCTGATTCCTTTGTCTCCACTTTTGTGGCTCCGTATTTGGCAGCACTTTCGTGGTACTTGTTCTGGGATTTCTCGTTACGCTTCATATCCAGCTTCGAACTAGCTGCCGGTTCAGACCTCAACTACTCGTTGCGCCAAGCTTCTTAGTAACATGCTTTTTGAATTTAGATTTAGCTCGAAACATTGTTTTCATAAATCCTTTTTTTGCCAAACAAGTTAAAAGGATGAGGGTTGTGCGGGTTCAATCGGGCAAAGCCTACAACTAGCATTCAGTTCAGAGCTTTAACGTAGAAAGGGAGCATTCCGTGTAGCAACTTCAGTAGAAAGTTGTAATCACACGATTCCAACTAATTCATACCACTGTCACGGTTGATGTCCAACCACTCATTGAGGACTTTTGAATTCGGCAAAATACACCAGTTTTACAAAGTTCTCGAAGAACATTAAAAAGCAATAATGGTAAAAAAGCAGATAAAAAATAGTATTGGCAAGGCAAGCAAACGTCAGGCCGTCTGCATTATGCTCATTAATGAGAGAAAGACACATATAGCATTTTGGCAAAATAAATTTACATTAAATCTTTATTTATTTCAAATGGCAGATGTTTTGATAGTTATCATTAGCCCTTTAGCTGACTTCGGTTTTTATAGAGAGAAGGAGGAACATCAGTGACAAAAAGCCGAGAGGGGAGGACAGAAGAGTGTTTCAAAGATGCAACAGACACAGGCACAAAGGTAGAAAAAAGGCGAGGTGAGTACTGTGGGAGTAGTTGAATATGACATACAGTGAGGTCATGGTGGTTTGAAGTGAGAAATCAACTGCTGGTTAAAAGACTTTTTGCCGTATGAGTATACGTTGGCCAGGAGGTAAGTCTATCGCACACCCCACATTAAATATTAGATCCACAGATATTCTTGGATGGATGGCACATTTTAACCTCTCGTTTTTCGAAAATCCAACCCCCCCCCCCCATAACAACAATCTAACCTTCACATAAACTGGGAACCAGCGAGATCATTTAAGAAAACAACTTTATTTTCATAAATTAAGCAGAAAAAATACATCAGACCAAAATCAAATGAGCAGAATTATATTCGGAGGATAAAACTTCACAGAGTGAAATTGCAAAATGTATTAGATACCAAATGTACACAACCATTCTCTTGATAAATGTTACGTAACTAGAGTTATCAAAAAATAACGCTTTTAAATTAGAGAAAAAAACAACCATAATGCAAAGGCAAAAGGAATGAAGTTAATTCTATAAAAGAAATTAAGAAGAATGTGGAGATCTGTTCACACTACGACCAGGACTATTGTCTCTAGTGGAAGTAGCTGTTCTTCTTTTAAGAGCGTATTTTTTCGGAGAAATACTACTTCCAGATGATGGAGTAGTCGTCTCCACGTATGGTGACGTTTCCATTTTGTTCCACATCTCGAATTGTGACGGAGTTGTTGAAAAATACGGCACACGATCAATAGTCTAAAGAAAAATCAATATCTGCTAGACTAATATTTGTAATTAAATTAGAAAAAAACTGGACCGCCTTAACATTCGAGGACAGATAGATGGTACATGCAAAAGAAGAATTCTTTCCAGCTTTCATTTCAACACCATGACCGCCTAGATATCAAATCACAACTTATTGTATTTTGCTTTGCATATCATTTCGTTTTGTACTGGCGTATTTAGAGACAATGTCATTCGAAAAATGAATAGTTTGACTCACATTTGCTGGTCGAAGCCATTCCAGAATTATCAGGAGTATCCAGTCAATAATCCATGCGATTGCCATGATTTTTCCACAAACAGGTCCTAATTTTTGATACGCCCTAATCCCACAAGAAAATAAGAAACACAAAAAAAGCAATAAATAACAACAAAAATACCATAATCAACGAAGTAACCTGATTTTAATTTAGACATGATCACCATTTTCAATAGTCGAGATATGGATATATAAAGAGCATAAAACGCTTCCTCAACGTAAAAATCGATATATTGAGATTGCACGAATCGAGTGAGTTCACCGAAATAGCATTTACTTCCAAAGACCGATGCAGTGGTAACTAACCAATTAATTATCATTAACACTACTTCTAAAACAGCATATGAGCGTAATTGAGACTTAGAGAGAGAGAGCCAGTGTAGTAAATAATTTCTCATGCTCACGATCAAAATTTGCCTGAATTGTTGCCTGCGCTATTTGCATTTACAGAAGAGCGAACTCTGGCACTTACGCTTTAGCTGCTTCCAATGGAGTAATGCGAGGTCTCGACATGGCAGCGTGATATGCAATCTCCGTTCGACGAGCAACGTCATGCCATGTGTAGAACTGCCTGATTTCCCGATGACGCTGCCACGCAATCTCCACAGCAGAAGCAGGAGGCCAAGACGGTGGAAGTGTTCGTTGGATCCTAGGATATCCCATACTTAAACCAGTAGTATTTTCAACTCTCTCCTGTTTTACCTTTGTCACTTCCGAGATCTCATATTGGCTGACTGCTCGTTGAGACAAGTGGTCTGGATTATGAAGTGCTTCCTGCTACAGCACCAAAATTCAACCTCCCTCGATTATACAGATAATATGTAAAATCGGTAGGCATTTAAGAGGCCGTTCTTACCGAAACAGAACGAGTCAGAGAGGTTTCGTGAGACCATTGAAGGCGCTGTTGACGAATCTCTTCAACAGCATTAGCAAGTGTAGAAGCTAATTCAGAGGCGCTAGCTGGAGCTAATCTCATCATGTGCTGAGGCAGAACTTCCGGCACTCCTCCGACCTTTGTGCTCACAACAAGGAGGCTAAAAATAAAGAATCGAAGAAAGCTTAGTTTAAAGGATTTACATTTAGGTAGAGAACACTTGCTAATCACTATTTACCCACAGCTTGCAGCTTCAACAATAGCAATACAAAAGGACTCAGTAAGAGAGACGTTGAGGAAGATATCACCACGAACAAGAACCTAAAAATACGCTTCAACTGAGATAAAAATGAACTTACGTCGCGTACTTTGTGATGAGGTAAAGCGCCAAGCATTTCTACGCGGAAATGCAGATTATGTCTCTCCCGCATTTCTTCCAAAGCTAGTCGCATTGGTCCGTCACCACCTTAGAGAAGTAAAAATAGGCAAATGAGGTAGAACAAATTGAGAAAAAATCAACAGAGAATATGTAATTTGAATAGAAAAGGAGTAAATGCTAAAATCCCGTTCGAAGGAGAGACATTTCTTTAGAAGCGGGCATGGTGCCCTGGCAATGCTTTTTACAAGCGCCCAGAGATGCACCATTTTAAAAAGTTACGTCCAACAACACGATACACTTCATATAAGAGATGGAAATCAAGTGCGTCGTGCTTATCTACTTAAATAAGTGCAATAAGACGTGATCTTGTCAAAGAGTGCTACTTACTGGGTCCTCAGAATCTTAAGGCGTATTTCCCAAAATGTTGGAATACGATATACCTTTAAATCATTACGGTTTCGGAGTACCTAAGGTTGTGTTAACTTAATAGTGTACTACTAACAAACTAACCAATTCGGGAAAATTAGATCTTACCAATAATGAAGCGAAGATTCGGGAAAGTATGGCACATTGGTGGAATTATAAGTGCCATCAAATCGGCACCTTTCCTATACACCAGCCTGCTAATGATGACCACGGTAACTAGAAAATGTAAACAAAAGGTGATCACCAATCTATCGATATCTAATATAAGCAGTAGATTCTAGGTTCTAAACCCGCACTGTTATCGGGGTCACGACAGGAAGGATCCGGTGTAAATGCAGTAGAATCGATAGCATTTGGAATGACATAAACTCTTTCTGGTTCCATATGACCACGAAGAACTGTATTCTCCTTCGCCACATTCGAAACACAAATAAAGTTATCTACAACATTGAGAAACATGTGCAGAGCACGATTAGCCAGTATAGATGAGAGATCAGCGAAACCGAACAATGAGTGATCTGTAAAGAGCGCGCTTAACCCCATCGCTTTGGCATGTAACAAGGACTCCAGTGCCAGTGGGGAGAACGCCTACAAGGAGATAGGCAAGTCAATTCCGGTAACTATACTACAAATATGTATTTAAATAATTTGACTTACAGAGTGACCGTGAACAATATCCACACTTTCACGAATGAAAATATCGCGTACAACAGAAAGCTCACCAAACACGGTAATGAAAACAGCTTGACAGTAGAAGGGTCGGTAGGGAATGTAATAGACCTATCAATTGAAAGTCGGGTAGTAATACACTATAACACTAATACCTTCAATCCTTTGGCCATGTATCGTACACCCTGTCGTTGCCATTTAGTTCCATAGGAGTGTGTGATGACGATAACTCGATGTCCACGTGAGAGGAGGCACTGGGCGAGCTGGTAAATGTGACTCTCTACGCCGCCAATATTCGGGTAGAAGCAGTCGCAAATAAGACTGTGCGAGGAGGAGTAAGAGCGTGAGGAAATTGATTGCACATCTGTTAGCGGAAACAAAAACAAAACTGGCAAATCAACTTACGCTACTGTTAAGTTTCCCTTGGTGCGGGGGACTACCTCATCTCCAGACATTGTGGAGCTAAGAGATAAGAAATAAAACTGGGATGAAAATGCAATTAAGGAGAAGGACCAATTTCAATAATATAATCAAATTTTGAAGATTAGAGTGTTATTGGATTGCATACACTAATATAAAATAAGGAAGAACTCCTCTCTGCCCCATTTATAAAGCATAGCTCACTAACTATACCTATGGTGGCTTACAGTGGTGTGTTTACTTCGAAAAGACGTTACTTCAGATGCTGCCGCAGCTACAATTTTTAGATGGTGCTATTCTCAAGACTGCAATTTTTGACATCATTTTTCTCATTTCACAGTTAAATGCAAAGAGGCGTGCATATCAAGAGGAAGATCTCTCCCCCCTCCCTCCCACCCCACCCACAGAAATTTATGTTCAAGGGAAAAGAGCGAACTTTCGTGCATAAAATTATTGGATATTATCTATGTTCAGCAAAACCAGCACTCCAAGTACGCCCTATGGTGTTAGAATGGTGAATAAACGACGATATTTGCATGTTTTTTCCACCTTATAAGAAGCATGGCAGATGACGAAGGAGTAAATTCATCACTGACGTAGTAGAAACAACATGTCTTCAAATTTCGGTTCCTTCCCCTTCGATCAATTGCAACAATGAGAAGTACTAGGAGCAAGGATGAATAAATGGTGATGTAGCCATAGAATTTCTACCTCCTCATCGTATTTACTGCACACGAGGCAAAAACGTTTTCCTTGCTTCAAACACTGAAGCAGAAAATGGAAGTGGAAATTCGGTTAAACGCAGTTAAGGGTACACAACACAGCAAACATGGGGATAAGGGAGTAGTTCTTAGTCATTCAGCAACATTACCCCATTCGAGTGGTTCAACATCGTTAAAGCCATTCAATCTACATATATTAGGAAATAAAAAATTTGGACACTGTTAGTGAAAACTCCACCGTAATCCAAATATAAAGATTTGCAATTAATTGAAGAGAGCTAGAACGATGCAGTATTATAGCATATGAATAATTATACCAATTAAAGGTCAAGAAGAAACTTTGAAAAACTCAACGGAGTTAACTAATTGGTTAATGGTTGAAAGCAACAGCAAACTGCATCACAAGCAAAGAAAGGAAGAGAACCAGGCTCATAGAGTAATCATTTATTTCTCTTATAAAGTGTACTAATGAGGATAGAATATGAAAGGCTTAATTTCAAAGTAGCAGTTTTTCTCTAATGAAACGTCAAGTAATAGTGGAAATAAGAAGTACGAAGATAAAATAAACATGACGATGATCTTATTTGTAACTGCCTTCCTTGTGATCCGCAAGCGAGTCATACCACTGATCCGGCACAAGATGGAAATTTCGATCCATTTGCTCAATCAAACGGTCTCGATAATCCACTGGCATAATGATAGTAGGCATAGGACCCTGCACACTAGATATCGCTTGTTTCACTATCATCTCAACGCGTTTGTCGAACGTGAACTTTCGGAGGTAGTCTATTATACCCATCACCAATTGGCCTGTTACCCTGTCAACCCCGACTAAAAGCGAATAATCCATTATAAAGAGATCTGCGAGGAACTGGGTATCCAATTGTAGACAGTGCATGAGTGCGTTCTGAAAAAAAAACAAAATGATATTCGAACACCACAACTACTTATTTTCAAAAAAGTAGAATAATTTACCTTGGAGTGTAATCGAACGTAGATTGGATTGACAGTTGTATCGTTTAGGAAATTCAGATCTAACAATACTGGCACGTTGCTAGATGACAAGTCGACAAGTCGACCACGAAAACATCCCTTCAGATCGTAAATCTGAGAGATTCCAGGTCGATTGTGGAAGAGATTTTCCATAACCAATACATCTAATCTTCGATTCTCACCGCTAGCAGTATTCTTGAATTCAACATTGAATATGCCCAGAATACGAGCAAGCAGCGATAGTCGCTTAAAAGAAAAATATCACATTTCAAAACCAAATAAATTAAGCTAAATTTACCAAGGAAAATTTATAGAACACACCATGTCATTAACAGCCGCTGTTAGATAGTTGAAATACTGGTCTTTTATATCGTGGAATGTTTTCAGCTCAATGGACGACAATTCTTTAACAATGAATCGTTCATCTAAGGAAAGAAAATATCAAGATATAATAGTCTTTACAAGAATCATTATTGAATAAATTAGTAAGAATGGCCACCATGAGTCTTCATAAACAGGGAACCGGACTTCCCACCCTTAGCAGCCCAGTTGTGACACCGTGAAAGAGATCGAATGAACCTATTTTAAATAGAGTAAAGTGTTTGCTTCATACTTCAAGTGAGGCTGAATATTCAGCGAAGATTCAACCTACCCAGCCTCCCCTTGGGGGAACATAAGTTTTCGTAGTTGATGAAATTCTTCAGCATAGTAAATTCGGCAAGAAAAATTGGTCGAGGCATCTGCGAATTCTAGGTACAAAGGAAAGTGAAGATAATAATAAAGTTCGGTAAAATATATCAAAGTAGATTCCACGAATTGGTAAACACATAGCAATAAAACGTTAATCAAGTTCTACGTTTCGTTAGAGATGGTAAAAGTATAAATTTGGAATGGGCTTACGAATTTCAATATGCGGATCTATAGAAGAAACTTTAAGAGACTTGGTATCATCAGGTACACTCGAAGAGGGTTCCGCATCATCCATCACATTCCCTAATGAAATAGCACCCATGCCTGAAAAAGAAAAGAGCCATAATTAGTCCCCCCTTGATTGCCTGAAATGCTTCATATTTTGCCCAACACTAAATATACAAAATACATATTTTTGTCATCTGGGGTGTGCGATATACCTACCTCCACGTGGTGCACCCTGGGCAACGTATACTCATACGGCAAAAANCAAAACGCCTGCCATTTGATATAAATAAATAAACAGACTAATCAAAATATGTGAATATTTAAAGTTCTTTCAAATGATCAGGGAAGAGGAATCATTTGTTGAAATCGTGACTAGCGTGATGCACTTCTTAATCAATTATTTTCCCTAACTTGTACCTTGGAAGCTGAAACTGCAGAAACAGCAGATAAATCCTGAAGAGAGAGGGAGAGAATTAATTACCTGATAAACAAACTTATTCATTGTATTCAAGTGTCTTGCTGTTCGTGGGTTTGAAGCAGTTTTATAATCGGCTGGGGAGATTTTATCGTTTGGCCTGGAACAAAGCAATTATCCGAAATTGAGACATTCCACATGCCACTTGAGAGAAAACCCTTGCTTCCAATGTGTGCTAACACACACACACCTACACACACACTCACACACACACACGCACGCACACACACGCACACACCTGATTGCACTTATGCACCTCACCTCCCTCGTCCCCCTCACGCAAAATGTGTGGACAGGACTTTGATGTTGTAGGGCTTTGATCTAATTTCCAATTTTTGTCCCGAATCCTATTGATCAGAGAATAGCGTGAGAAAATTTTCGAAAAAAACAGTTCGTTTGCGTATATGTTTACGCTTATTCAAGTTCCTAGATAACTATGGCATGGTGGTATATTCCTCGAAGGACTACACTTACAAAAAATGTTATAAAACTTTCGCTTTTCATAAGGATTTGATCTTGCACAAATAGATTCCACTTTTACATTAAGTCCTTATTATTTTTCTCAACTATTTTCTAGTTTTTTTTTATGTTGTTATGCTATGCAAATTCATCGATGTTCTTCCGTGAAACTCTATTACTAAACTGGTTTGGTTTAATTTTACTTATTCCAAAAATGGCAAAATAATTAAGTGAGCGATGAAATTATGGGTTCAATTAGAATTAAAATTAATTTTAATGTCAGAAGACAGGTTTTAGTAGAACTTTAAAGCAGTCTGGTAAAAGGTCTCTCATACAGGCTAGTGCTTAAATTGAATGTCATCCTTACCAAAAGTTAGATATTTGCCCATCAGCCGTTCAATAAACCTAAAAATTATAGATAGACCCTGGAAATAATGAAGGCTTGAAGAAAAATTAATAGCTAGACCTAACCCGTCTCTAGTAATATGCTTTTCTAACCCTATTTTCCACTAAATTCGTCCTGATGTTTTAAGATCATTCATCCCTATACTTATATTGATATAACTCATAGCTGAGTGATAAGCGTCCTACAAGACAAAGCCCAGTGCTGGTATGTTTTCATTTTTTCTGGGAATGATTTATTCCCGCTGTTTGTCTCAAGGTCGCCCATCGACACCATCAAGACGCTGGCACATCGCGCTCTCGACAATTCGGCGCTTTTTTTCAACTCCCTCAATCAACAACACGAAACCAACTTGGTTTCCTTTAAAATGTCTTGCTTAATTCAATCTTGTGTAGGCCTTCCCTCTCCAGAATAGGCCAACTGAAGTCAATAGACATTGAGGAAGCAGATATATCATAGCAACAGAAGAGCCAAGTTTTACACAAGTGGGCAACTGAATCGTTACGACATTAATTCATTCATAATATGACGTTGGTCATTAATTCAGTATGCAAGCACACTGGTTTCAGTTTAGAGAGTTAATCTCAATTTTGCGCATGCAACTATTCATTATGGAGGTCAGTCTAAATGGTTAATCAAATAAAATTCTTGTTTGTAAATTGAATGGCCCCATTATTACTAATTTGTGCATGAATCAGTCAATTACAGTAAACACCAAAAAAGGTAGAAAGTAGTGATTTATTTACTGAAATATCGCGCTAAAAAGCCTATTAATAAAAAAATACATTGAAATTAATTTTATCTTGATAATCAAAGAACACATTTACGAGAAAATTCTAATTTAAAACATTTAATTTCCCAGTCCAAAAACGAGGCGCAAACGATAATATTTCATGTCTTTGAAATGGAGCCGATTTTGAACTCGAAAAACCCTAAGGTTGTGTGAAATACGTTAAATCGCATAATTATTTAACAGTTAGTTGGAGGTTCGAATAAAACCCCGTAGGAAAGCTATTTTAAATGGGTAAACAATTGGAATCCATGTTTAATGGGATAATAGCGAAGAGAGTCATTACCTTACTGCTACAGTGGGGGGCAATTAGCAAAACTGCATCAGTAACTTCAATTTTAAATAATATCACTGTTACTTGTGGGAATTAGGATGAAACATGTACCCCAAAATCACTTAATGTATACCTTTTCTGCTTACTTTAAATCGATATTTGATTTATTATGGAAATTCAAAATCATTTTTCCATTGCAGAAAGCGGCTGGCATTGCTTTGTAAATAAAGCACCAGAGTATTTGAATCAAGCGTTAGAACGATTCTTTCCCTTACAGCAAGTACTTGAGATTACACTGAGACTCCAAATTGATGATTTATTATTAACCTCTTTCAAAATAAGCTCCATTGGTACTAGACTCGTAACAGAAGGCGCTAATGCGGTTTGAAACATGTTCAATACGTCCATAGCCTTCGTCTGAAACCACCAAAATTCATCACACGCATAAGTGCGGTTGGATGTATTTTTCAAAAAAAAATAATTCGTGCGTTAAAGGATCAAACATAAAGATAGACAATTTGAAACTCTCTAATAATGCAATATATGCATTTAGAGAATCAGGTCGTCAGTGAGGTTCTACGCTGAACAATCAGAATCTCGGTAAAGATTTCTATGGAGAAGTTTCTGGTGATATACGCCTGCGTCGCTTTATTACTTTCTTCGGAAATGCCATCATAAACATTAGCATGACGGGATAGTGCCTGAACCTGCAAAATGTTCAAATGTGAGAAAAATCGGTGTGATCGAAAAGGTGTGTTAATAAGTTCATGATTTCAAGGGACTTTACTTGACTTACACGAAATACTGTTCAAATTGCAATGCCGACATTTCCTTAGGCCAAATTTCTTTGTCCTTAACCCAGATTAGCAATATTTAGAGCTTACAGGCTGATTAATTTATGTGAAATATTTAGTGTGTCTCGTTGATTCATTTGCATCTTTTTATTGCCATAAGCTACAGCAGTGAACTCTGAAGCCCAGTAAATGCTTATAATTTAGATTACTTGCAACGTTACATTATTTAATAAATTATGTGATTTCGATGTGGTTTGCAGAGTACAACTGGACGCAATAATTTAGAATAGCACAACGAGGTACTGAATGGTAGTATCCAGTTTCAGGAAGGTTGTGTTTGAATTATGGTCAAAATATGTCTGTTTGAACTGAGTTTTAGAATACAAGACAATTATTTCCAATTATTTTAAAGCGTATTAATTGAGTTTGAGATTTGCTGCTAACATCGACCATGAATATCAAAGAAACAAGAATACATTTATTTACCTCCACGTGGTGCACCCTGGGCAACGTATATTCATACGGCGAAAAAGTCTATTAACTGGCAGTTGACTTCTCACTTCAAACTATCATCACCTCACTCTATGCTATATTCGACTATTTCCACAGTAATCACCTCACCTTTTTTCTACCTTTGTCTCTTATACCTTTGAAACACTCTTCTGTTCCACCCCTCTCGACTTTTTCAATTTGATCTTCCTTCCCCTCTGTGAAGCCTGAAGTCAACTAAAGGGCTAATGATAACCATCAAAACGCCTGCCATTTGATATAAATAAATAAATATTTTCGTCATCATTGTAACTAACAATAAATAGCTAGATTCCATTAATTAGCATATACCTTACCTGGTTTACAAGAAACTGAGCTCGATTGCACTGATGATGACTTAATTTCAATTTCAGAAATTTGTATTTCCGACGACCTAAAATTGTACAATTTCGAACTCAATAGCTATCTTTATAAATAACCTGATGGGAAAGTTTTTTGTCAAGACCTACTTAATCGAAGATTTTTTACTGGTCGTAGCCTGGAAGTCAGAAAGTACTTGTAATTTGGAGGCATAACTATCCGTCCTATAAAGTAAAATTAGCGTTGACTCATACCAATGCTCTATCTACAAAAAACTATGCAGACAAAGTACTCACGCGAGCGCATACGCTACAATGGAGGTTATCTCCTGGTCAATCACGTAAACATCCGGCATTACTTCAAGAATATGGATTTCACTCAACTTTTTAGCCAGCTCCTCTTTGGCGCACACAGTTGGTGTGCTATCAGCATTGCCTACATGTGGAGAGCTCACTGACTCAATTTTAATAGCTTGTAGGAGGAGGCTTTGACCATTCGGTGGAAGGATCTGTGGATGTTCAACAAGAGGCCAGGATTCGAGATTCAACTTTGTCTCGTTACTTCCAGGCAGAATGGCCGTGATGATACGCTTGACTGTACCAACTTTAATATTCTTGCCGCTAGTATCTACAATGGCAAAAGTTAATTTTAAGAAATGATACCAGTACACGAAAAGATAACTGGCCAATGAAACTCGCAAACTGCATTTACGTAGGACGGAAAAAGATAGAGTTGATGAGACAAAGAGCATTAGCAAATTGAAACAGAGGAGAAATGGATGGCAAACTACACCAAAAGGAGTCTCCTGCGAAGCGGACTAGCATGAGTACCTACTGCAATTCAGTATAAATGGCAGTACTAACCAATCGATATTGCCATCAATAAATAGCAGATAAGCATATTGGGTATTTGACTATTTTACATTCAGTCTAAACAGATTAAGTGAGCAAAGCCAAAAGATTTTGATACTAAATTTAGGATCATAATTCCAAATTCAAGACTGCTCCATAAAATGAAGAGTATCTTTGCACAAAGACACAACCCTTAGAGCCAAATATTTCAACAACTGCAAGCTGGGAATTTTCAAAACGGAGAAAAACTAATCATTAAGCTGAAAAAAATTTGAAAGCTATGCATTCCATTATCTAACATACATCCTCGCTAAGATCATAACATAAATGAAATTAAGAAGAGGTTGATTCGACGGATATGGTACCTTGGGATGACTATCAATAGTATGGTTATCGTCTTCCTTCTTCGTATGTAAGAATGAACTGTCTTCTGTAGAGAATAACTTAATCTACCTCCACAATCTTACCACCTAAATAGACAGATATTCAGCTCCCAGAACAAGTCTCTGCCAAAAGTTCTGTTAATAAATATTCAGATATTTCTTGGTACACTCCAGCGATGCCTATTATAAGCAAAAGATCTTCCCGTTTTCTTCCTGATATCAGGGAGATATAAATATTAAATTTTAGCTTATTAAAACGCAGGACAAAGAGAAAAATACACATGCACCAGATATACGTATTGAAATAATTGTGTTAACTATAGAAGTCTGCTAATTAGATCAGTCTCTTCTGTGTAAATTGTCGGAGCCATTAACTCATCGTAAATACAACGATAGATAAGACATCGGCAGAGTTGTCTGTATTAATCAATACACAAAGTGGCAAATATAAGAAAGCCTACTTTTCCGATATCTAGCTACTACAAATCTCACAAGTAAAGAAAAATGAGTTAGCAAATCACAAAATCTTGTTATGCAACTCCATACATTTACATAAGGTAAGCAAAAGCTTGGAATTCGTCAAATTCACTTAGTTTGGAGATGCCACATCGAACAACAGTTACAAATTATACTGATCGAGGTCAGTTGATCTAGTAATTCAAACAGCTGGCATACCCGTATCTTCAACATTAAGATCGGCGATAGAAGGCGAGGGAGATATTTCTTGAAATGATCCTGGTGTCTGGTCACTGGGAGGATCAGTTGGGGTAAGAGCAGACTTAGCCTTGCGCTCCTTGTATGTCGATTTTTCAATTAGTTTCGCTGTTAAATTGTAGCGGGAAAGACTATACAAAATAGAAAAAAAGTTAGAGCCACTTCAACTAACCGTGTATTCCATTCATTAACGAAGTTGAAAATCCAGCGTCTGATGAGATAGAGTAGCGCATATATCAACGAAATTTTCTCCTCTAAATAATTTCATTACTACGTTTTAAAAGCGCCACAACAAACCGAAAGACAATGCAGCCAACTGAATCATCCAAGAAGCTAGGGATTCGTAAGAGGAAAGCGTGCGATCGGGGTCAATCTCTTCTCCAAGACTTGTCTCCAGAGAATAAGTATCATCCGGTTCATTAGCAGTTGACTTTAATCCCGACAAAGGCGATTGACTGGTAGAAAGGTTATCAAATAGGAAGGCGAGTATTTCCACCCGGGACTTGACTCCTGTCTCTGAACATTCAAACTATAGAAGGATTACTATAGCATAAAAGCATTTACTTACACTCAAGCTCTGGTCAAATGCATCCAATAGACGGATTAAGTCCTCAGATCGTGTTTCATCCCGTAAAGTTACCAAATGAGACTTTAACCGCAATACGACTTCATAATACCTATAAGAGTAAAAGTGATAATAAACTCGGCTGCACGATACGGGATATCCACACATGAATTAATTAATTCACTTTTTGAGAGTCTCCTTGACATCTTTAAGCAGAAAGCCTGGCATTTCAACGGGTTCAACAGAAACGGCTCTTGATTTATTTGATAAGTTAGTTGTATGGCGTTCGATAACACTGTTGGAATATGATTGTGCCATAAAGGGGTCGCAAAGAGGAAAGAATGACCATACAGACAAGGGTGGCATGCTGACATCAAACACCATTGTCGGCTTGTAACTGAAAGGAAACAAGCAAAATATATTTAATGCATTTGGGTAATTTATCCATCTTAAGAGAAACTGTCGAACTACTTAAAATGAAGTTGTATCATCTAATAAATAACGGACTTTGACTTGAAGTTCACCTGACATAATTAATTTTGTATACCCTATTTTAAATATACGACACCGAATATATAGCAAATAACTATTCCCCCAAACACATTCACCGTACTAAGTTGATTTGTTATTTATAGGATCTTGGGAAGGACTGGATTTATTCTAGAGGCTTCTAGTAGGAATGAGCGAATAAGTAGGTTAGGAAATAATGTGGATTAACTTACCGGAAAGTTACCTTCCTAGTGCCTGCAGCAAAGTAGATGTGAAGATTTTTAATCGGACAAACTGGGCCCCCACTGATAATGGGTGCATGAGCAAAGCAGGAAGATGAATTGATGAAGAGATCAACAAATTTCACGAAGGAAAGATGCCATGTGTACTGCGAAATGGGATGATATTGGGATTCCTGCTTGCAGGAAGGACAGTACCAACCAACGCGTATAGAGTGCAATGGAGGAGGTGGTGTTTCAATAGGTGGTGCGCCATCGTTTAGCACTTCAATCTCTTCAATTGTCTGAATAGTCAATTCTAATGTACCCGCGGCTTGAGTGAAGCGTTGAACGTGCTCCAGCATAGAGATTTTGCATGAAGAGTTCGGGCAGTTCAAACTCCTGTGAAGAGAGACAAAATAAGGCTACAGATGTCAGAAAGTAATAATATACACGTTATAAGATACCTGTATTTATTCAATAACTAGGCGAAAAAAATCGTTGAAGAAAAAAATTTCTCAAATAGAAAGGTTCAAACTAGTCTTCTTTCCGAAACTTGGATTTTCTCTGGAATTCTCTCTTCAACTATATTATTCAGTGGCGTAGCAGTGTAATTCTTATCAATTAAAAGGTAAAAGTCAAAGGTTTGTAACCCATCAACGAAAAACCAATAATCAAATCAATTTCTACTTTCATAGAAGTGTCCCAAAATGGCCTTTTTTAAATACAATGAGTCTCAGAAAACGCTTGCAATAAGTGTTTAGAGCATATTTTCAATGACAAGTTAATAACTGTTACTGTTCAACAGAGCGAAGTGAAAGCAGATTATCCCCTGAAATATGTAAATAATATCGCATACCAGTAGCATACCTACTAGCCAAATCTAAAGTCACGCGTTCAAAGCTGAGTGGCTGGAAGAACTATCCACACCTGTAAACGATGGTTCGTAAATCGATAATAGAGGGGACTTTTTAATCCGGGATTCTATAAAAAAAATTCTGCATTTCAAGTACAGATTACTGAATTTACCAATTCACTAGAATAAAATTTACACTCAAGCATATGTTTGTAAACGCATTTTAAAAGTCATCATTAATAACACTCAACTAGTATTGTAATTCCATGGAACCTGTGACCCTTAATTACGCAAATGAGATGCCAACCTCAATGAAACACCATGTATTCCTCAATATTTTCTTCGTCATGCAATTCAAAGCTAAGCATTGTTATTCCTGATGCAAAAATATGGTTACTTTGCATTTTTTAAGCCTTAAAGGTGGGTGGGTGG